TGGTCCTTTTCTGTAAAAGATTTTAATAATTACAAATTAAATAAAAAAGTAAAAGCACCAAAAGCGATTGCTAGAATGCAATACAAAAAATAACAAGCGGTAATTATTGCTTAATAGTGCAACAGTATAAATTTAAACTGACTAGTTCTGCACTGGTCGCCGGGTGAAAAAGGGAGAATAAAAAGAGAGGAATAAAAAGAGGAGTTGTGGGGCAGACCAGTGTGAGGGGCAGACCAGCAGTACTGAACTAGGGTGGCTGAAAAGAAAAAAGCCACAGCCCTAGCAGTAGTACATGGAGCAGCGGCTCTCCAGCGGCATGTCAATGAAGACGTCAAAGTTGTCGATGCTGGAGCTGGGCACGTGGTGCTTCGTGTAGTGAACGCGAGACTGACCGCCCATCGGACCAGCGCCGTTGAAGCCGCCGCCGCCATTGGCACCGCCAGGACCGGCAAAGTACTCCATGCCCTGACGACCCGGACCGCCAGGACCACCGCCCATGCTCATGCGGTCGCCGCCCATGTTGCCCATCTCTCTCTGCAGGCTAATGGCCGAGGAGATGTGAGCCCGGGCGCGGAAGGCAGCCAAGTGGGCGTAGTACACCGGCGTGGGAATGGAGATGGAGCGCGAGCAGCGGCCGTACAGGTGGCACAGCATGTTCGTAAAGTCCTGCAGCTCGTCAGCCTTCAGCTGGTTCTCGTCCAGGAGCACTGGTAATAGAAAATCAGCATGCTATCACAAGGTACACAAAAATTGGTCTGATATGACTTACCGCAGTAGTGAGAGGGGCGAGAAGTGCCCTGAATGCCAGCGTGCGAGCAGAGGAAAAAGTCAAAGTTGCGCGGGTGAACGACGTCGTGGTCGACCACGGTGCCCGGTGGCACGTTGCAGCTCTTGCCGACGCCGTCGCGGGCGTTATCCGGCATGAAACGGCTGTGATGTCTTTTAAGGACGACGCAGAAGCTTAGGCGTGCCTTGTATCCAGGTCGGTACTTGGCGAGCACGTCCTTGATGACGCGCACCTCCTCGTCAAAGACGGTGCGAAACTGGCCCTCACTGACGCCGTCGCGGTAGAAGATGATCTTATCAGGGAGAACGTTGTTCTTCTTCTCGTAGGCAACCAGCATGTCCACCAGCATCTGGTCCAGCTCCTGGATGATTTCCTGGCGAAAAAACTTCTGAATCTTCACCGAGGAGCAGTAGCGCGTAAAGTCGGGGCTGCAGTTGGCGACCATGGCGGCCAGCGAGGGCGTACCGCGCTCAGTCGGCGAGGGATGGGCGACGTCGGCGCCAATGACCAGCGTCTTCTGGTAGTTGGCCTTGCAGAAAGGAGGCATCGAGTCGACGGCCACGGAAACGTTGATGCCGCCCAGCTTCACATTGACCTTCTGGAGGATGTTCACGGCGATGGACTGGTTGAAGCGGAGCACATTGTGCGGACGCATGCACTGCGTCGCCACGCCGAGGTCCACGTCACCGGCCTTCTTGATTGCATTGTACTGCGACTCGACTTCACAGCCGACGAAGAAGTACAAGTCAACTTTGCCAAAAGAGTTCGCTGATTTGGCGAAAAAGTTCGCCAGATTGGTGGGGTCAAAGTTATAGCGGACCTTCTTGGGCGGCTTGATCGCCATGCCCAGCTCGCGGCCGTGGCGAATCAGCGTGTCGACAAAACGGTCAAGCACGGGGTCCTCGAAGCGGCCCATCACCACCAGAACCCACTGGTTGATGTTGGCGGGCTGGAAGAAGCGCTTGATGTGCCACTTGCCGCCACTGGGCTTCACCTCGCCTCCATTGCCCTCGAGCAGCTTGGGGACGGCCAGCACACGGGCCTTGATGGCAACCGGCTGCGTGGCGATGTTGATGCCGAAGTCGCGCAAGTAGTTGAACATCTTGTCCCGGTCCATCAGGTCGCGGGCAGTGCTGCGGATAATCTCAAAGCGCTCAGCGGGCACCACCGAGGCGGCGCTGCGGATCATGTCCGCCTTCTCCTTGATCGTCAGCTTTCGCGCGCGCTGGTCGGTGGTGATGCGGCACACCTCGGCGGGGAAGTAGATGAAGTCATTCTTCATCTTGCGAACCTTCACACAGGCCATGTCGGGGTGGCGCAGCGGACCGTAAGTCTTGCTGAAGTAGTCTGCCACGCTGATGGTTCGGCCACCGTCCTGGTTGGACTCGAATGTGATTCGACTAGCGGGCTCGAGTGTGATGCCGCTAATTTTGTACTTACGAGACTTGGCCAGGTGGGTCACCTCAAAGAAGTAATCCTTCAAGGCGAGCTCCAGTTTCTTGCGCGCAAAGTCACTCCAACGCTGCGAGCCAATGTCGCGCATGAAAACGCGAATGCACTGGTCAACAGGCAGCGGTTTCATGAAGGGGGCGCAGCTGCGGTCCAGGATGAGCTGCAGACCGGCGGAGCAGGGCTGCACCGAGGAGAAAACGCCGTAGGAGATCTCCTTCAGAGCCGAAATGCTCTGGCGAGTGTCATCCTCATGGCGACTGTGGAAACTGGAGCGGCCCACAAGGAAGCGCATGCTGAGGAAGAGGTGGCGCACCACCAGGTTAATCGAGCGGATTGTCTCGATATGAGCGTCGTTGACCGGGTTCTAAATGAGGAGAGAGAAATGATATGTTAGTAGCGCAAGTGATGACTCCTCACCATACGAGTGACTCGTCAGCAGAATGAGAGCGAGCTGGTGCTGCTACACTGCCACGTCACCACCACCACCACCATCGTCATCCCTCATCAACCTACCTGGTAGTAGTCCTTGATGGACTGCAGCGAGAGGACGTTAACCAGCTTGATGCACACCTCGAAGTTGTAGTCCTGGCTGCCGTACTCTGGGCTCGAGTCGGCGAGGTTCACACGAAACTTAATCGTCTTATCGGAGATGATCGGCAGACGCTCCGAGGTGTAGAGGCAGGAGGTGCCGTCGAAGATGCAGGCGATCTTATGGAAGATGTTGCCCACCTGGGAGTTGTTCTCGATCAGCCACTTCATCACATTGCGGAAGATCGTCTCCGTCTTGCTCTTGTGGAAGCTGCTGGTGGAGGCGGCCAGACTGGCGGTACTCGCGTTGCCGTTCACCTGGTTGATGTTCACGTAGTACGAGTAGACGGTCTTGTTCAGGTCGTACGACACGCCGTAATGGTTGCTCAGGATGACGATCGGGTAGCCGCTGGTGCCGATGTTTGGGCGCGGCGCGAACATGTCAAAGCGGCCGCGCTTGCCGTGATTGCCGCCGGCGCTGGTGCCGGCGCCGCCATTGCCACCACCACCACCGCCGCCGTGGTTGCTCAGAGTCGCTGAAGACATGGAGTGTGTCTCAGAGATGGAAGGGAAAAGAGGAGAGAGGCACAGAAGAAAATCTCGGTGCTTAGTCACTGAAAAATGATGACGAGGGTTTAGAGATGGGAGAGAGAGAGAGCAATGACAAGTCGAGGGAGTGTGATAGCTAGCTCACCAGAAATCAAATGTGAGCCAGTGCGGCCGAGTGAGCCCCTTTTATAGCGAAAACCAGACCTAAGGATGACGGGTCATTGCGGGCGTTAGCAACCGCCGCCAGGTTTGTTCGATTCTCGGCAAATCGTGACGTGGCAAAAGGCTACTGGCCGAGAAAGTGAGCAAATTCTTTGGAGTTTAATAATACGTGTCCTTGACAAATGAGAAAGACAAAGAGCACACCCGAGTGGCACACTCAGTGGGTGCCTAGGTAAAAAGGCAGAGATTCAATGGAGAAGAACGATTGGAGTAAATCGGTGGAGCATGCAAGAAAGCTAAAAGGTTTCAGAACTGAACAAGTCGTGTCAGCGTAGACAGGATGCAGGGAATCTGCTTCTTTCGGTCCATTTCGAGATTATTCGGCACATTGGACTGGTACTCAAAAGCGACCTTTCGGCAGACGATAGTGAGCATGGTCATCAGATCGTACTTTTCATTGTACTGCTCAAGCACTTCACAAAGCTCCTGTTAGATGAGAGTGAAAGTTGTTGTTAATGTCAAGCTGAAATCAGCATCGTCAACGTGCGTACCTGAATGAACCAGCTGCCCTTGCTGCTGTTTCGCCAGGAGAAGTGTCCCGGGTAAGTGCTGTAGAAGATGAGAAAGTCTGCGTAGTTGGGAATGAGAAAGTATCCTGGAGAGGCGACGGGGGAGTCGTGCACCAGAGTGCCCGAGTCAAACATCTCGCCCTGACAAGCCTGGATGAAGAACAGCTTGGGCTTGCCAACCAGTGATCGACAGCGATTGGCAGTGAAAAGATTGAAGATCTGCTCAGTCTTCAGTTGTCGGTCTTTGCAGTGCAGAATGCCATTGCTGCCGTGAGTGAGAATGCACAGGACAAAGCAATCATAGGACTCGTGATTGCGGTTCGATTCTGCGACATCAACAAATGTTAGATCAAGTTTTCACGCTCATGTTGAAAAGCTCCTACCCTTTTGGAGAACATCAAACGTCTCATTCAATGTTAGATTCTCGTGCGTTTCAATGTCAAAGTTGAGGTTTTCAAAAGTCTTCTTCAGTGAGAAGCCATCCTTTTCAGTGCCCTCTCGAGCGCGAAGTTCCTGACTGCTGAAGTGCTTGTAGTTGAGGACAATGCAGCGTCCCCGCTTCAGATGATTCATATTGTAGTGCAGGTCATCACGACCGACTGGCAGATGGTGTACTACCTTGGTTTCTTGTCGAATTCTTTGTAGTCAAAACAAAAATACAATGTATAAGTGAACGAAAAATCTCAAATTATCAGCGGGCACTTACGACGTCGTTTGAATGGAGAACCAGGAATCAGATTCTGAATTGTTGTTGTTCTCCCCATTTTCGTTTTCTACGTTTGAGCAGTCCATTGTGGAGTTTTTGTTTGGTTTCTTTCTTTGGCAGTAGTCTACGGGGGATTAGGAACGACAGAAGAGCGAGAGTGGCCGTCAACAAGTGGCACCAAT